TCAGCTCTTCAGCTCAAGGCTAGCGCTCTATCACTGAGTCACAGCGCCACTTCCGGCTTTTTTCTTTTTTGCTTATGTGGTGCTGAGGAATCGAACCCATGGCCTCAGGCATGCAAGGCAAGCGCTCTACCACTGAGCCAGCTTCCCAGCCAACAAGATGCTTTGTATGCTCTATTTTTAAATTTTCTAATCACGGAGACAAGGTGGCACAGGTAAGTTTCTTACCATTGGTTACTTGCAAGCCCTAAATTGAAGCAGTGTCTATGAAAGCTGGACATCTACGTTTTAGAGAGGTACGACTGCAGCATCCGCATAACCAGACCTTCACTAATCCTGTGACAAGGTAAAAGTGTGAAGCTGTTGGTCATCTGCCCCTTTGCCAAATGTTCCCTCGTGTGGTGCTGTGGTCCTGCCTGGGATCTGCTCTCTGGCTGTTCATTGAGTTTCCTGCCTGCCCCACTGAGGGTGGGCATTGCTGCTGTGGACCGGTCACTGTTATCCCCTAGGGCTGTCTCATGAACTTGCTTAAGTTTGACTGTTGGTTTATTCACTTGATTTATTCTTTTATTTCTTCAATTATGTACCAGGCACTGTTCTAGAGTGATGCTGTAGCTCATATACAATCGGGTAAACAGGATTGCAGACAGTTGGAGTCACTTTCTTTTAGGTAAGTGCCCTTATGAGGTGTTGTGGCAGGTGACCTGCAGGAGGTTCAGGGGAATGAGGTGAGGCAGGTGTGGTCCCTGGGATGGTGTCTTAGAAGAGATATGCTTAGGTGTTAGCATGTGAAGGCCAGGCATCTGGAGAGGCATGTGTACAACCTGGGAGTTGTGCGCTTAGACATCTTTAGGAAATTCACCAACATGGGAAAGTGGAATCCAGAACCAGAGAGAACCCAGATCAAGAGGAGTTCCATGGGGCTGGGAAGGTGGCTCAGTGGTAGAGCGCTTGCCTTGCATGCATGAGGCCCTGTGTTCGATTCCTCAGCACCACATAAGCAAAAAGGAAAAAGTGGGAAGTGGCGCTGTGGCTCAAGTGGTAGAGCGCTAGCCTTGAGCTGAAGAGCTGAGGGACAGTGCCCAGGGCCCAGGCCCAGAGTTCAAGCCCCATGACTGGACTAAAAAAAAAAAAAAGTTCCAGGGTCAGATTTGGCTTTGTGGCCTGAGGGGAGAGGTGATTGGAAGGATGGGTATGTGATCATTCCAGATAGGAGGGTGAGGAGCGGTGGAGCCTGGGTGAAGTAGTTAGAACAAAGAGTACAGAATTGGTTTGAAATATGAGGCCATTGGCCAGACATGATTACTAAGTAGGAAGAGGGAAAACCAGAGAGTGACTCCCAGCTTCCCACATGGGCCACATGGCTGGTCCTTAACTGTGGAGATGTGCAAAGCAGTAGGTTTTAGGGACTCTCGTGTAAACTTGGTTTAATATCAGCAAACCATTTGATCCTCAGTTCTAACAGTTATTTCCAAAAAAATCTCATTGATTCTTAACACCCAATCATTTCTAGGAAACTTGCTTGCCAGGCCTGGCCTGTCCCCTCTGCTCTGAGGGCCCTTGTTCCTGTGGACCTCCGTGTGTCCACACAGCCTGGACAATAATCATTTCTCATGTCAGTGCTTCCCATTCCACCATAAGCTCTGCAAGGGCAGTGGGCAGTGCCTCCCACCTCCCTTTCACCACAGAAACTACGTTCATCTTTCATTTCTCCAGTTAGGAGGTGGGTTGTTTTGTTTTGTTGTCATCTATGGTGCTTGAACTCAGGGTCTGGGCACTGTCCTTGAGCTTTTGCACCCAAGGCTAGTGTATATTTAACACATATAACTGATGATACTAAAAGTACTATTAATAATTAAAACACAAATGCAGTTTAATTTCTAATCCGTTTATAGCTGAGTTTTTCAAAAAGTCCAATAAACTCCAAGTACATTTAGGAACAATCTTACTCCATATATTCATTCAGGCATTTTTTTATATTTTGGTCAGTTGTGGGACATGAACTCAGCACCTAGGTGCTGTCCCTGAGCTCTTTTTGCTCAAGGCCTAGTGCTCTACCACTTTGAGCCACAATGCTACTTCCAGGTTTCTGGTGGTTAATTGGAGATAAGAGCCTTAGGGACTTCCTTATCCAGGCTGGCTTTGAACCATGGTCCTCCTGTCTCAGCCTCCTGAGTAGCTAGGATGACAGGCGTGAGCCACCAGGAGTTGTTGTAAGGACAATAGCAAATTAGATTTCCAAGCACACAAGATTTACTTTGGGTACTTGATATATTTTTTAAGCTGAGACTGGAGAGAGGAAGTTGGTTGCATTTTTCTGGGCAGTGGCAGTTTCCTCTCTAGCCTGTATGTGTCCTGTGTGTGCAGGACAGAACTCTTAAACATCCTTCACTTAGCAAAGGCCAAAATCTCTTGTTCCTGGGAGATGTGTCCCAGCCTCAGGACTAATGGCTGTGGATGGTTTTATTGCCAGTT